TCCTTGAAGAAAGTAACTCATATCTCACGGAGAGTGTGTTTCTTTGAAGTATACCACCCTCAGTATGCAGGGGCTGCTGGTGTGTTACGGCGTTGCATGCCCAAGAAGTTTATCTTGTGTTAGGATATGAGTAGTAAACTAAAGCTAGAATTTCTGCAAATACCGTATTAGAATGAAAAGCTGACCAAATTATTTTCTAAAATTATAAGAATGGTCTCTTCAAATACAATCAGATCAATTTCACAGTCAGAACTATTTTCCTATGTTTCCCAATAATTCAACAAAATTCAGTATACTAAGTGGTTTCTCATTTCTCCACCTTTTGTGAAATTTTCATGACTAAATCCTTGGTACTTCCCTTCTTTTTTCACTTACATTATAGCAGTCATTCACTTTTACACCTTCTGTCAACCTCCCTCGGATGACTCCAAAATTGACATTCATAACCCTGAACATCTAGGAGTTCCACCAGATCTGAACCTCTGCACCACCCTAAATAATGCTGCAACTTACAAATTCTTGTCAACTAATCCTTAACATACTGAAAGCTGGAAGTATGGCTTTCCCCAGATAGCCCTTTCTTATTCCCCAAAACCTGCCAAGCCTCCTCAGTACTCCCGACTTTCCGAGGTTCACAAACATAGGATTATTTTTTCTTTTCTCCTCTATATTTCTACATCCAATAAACCAAATGATGCCATTTTTCCCCCCAATGGGTTCCTCGCTTCTAATCTCTTCCCACTGTGAGATATCCTATACCAGTGCTTCTCAAACTTCACTGTGTATGAGAATCATTTCAGAATCTTGTTAAAACGCAGGTTCTGATTCAGAAGGCCAGGACTGGGACCTGACCCTCTGCCTTTCTAACATGCTCCCAGGTGATGCTAATGCTGCCGCTTGAAGGACCATACCTCACCTCTTTAAGCAATTGAGATCATTTTCTTTTCTTTTATACCTTCAGCACTTTCACAGTTTATCCTATGATATTTTTTGTTTATAGTGTTTTATAGTTGTTTTATGTGACATATTCTATTATGCTTTCTTAAAAATCAATTTTGACATAAGAAGTAGGATCATGATTTCTTTTTCTGGAACAACAGCAAAGAATACGTTAGGCGTATTGTGGGTATTCAATGCTTGTTGATTGTAAAATGCTTCCCTAGAAAATACAACAATCGTCTCTTGATTAAGAAGAAGCTGAAGTGGGTTTATCAATTACCTTTGTCAACATTTTAAAAACCATTTCACTGCTAATCAACCTTTTTACCAGATTAGGACAGAAGAAATAACCTTAAAACAACTTATTCATAGTTAAGAAGGCAAATGTTAGTTAAGGATTGTGAATTACTGGGTATAGATTTATTCCTTCTCCATCAGTAAAGGATTAGTTAAATATTTATATTTAAAATTGAAGCTAGAAGCACAGGTAACAAAAGGAAAAAAAATTGGACTTCATTAAAATTAAAAACTTGTGCATCAAGAGACACCATCAAGAAAGTGAAAAGACAATCTACAAAACGGAAGAAAATATCTGCAAATGAGATTTCTAATAAAGGTTTAATATGGCAAATTTTGTATGTATTTTACTACAATTTTTTAAAAAAACAAAACTACCCAGATGGTGTGACTCAGTGGATTAAGCGCCAGCCTGTGAACCAAAGGGTCACTGGTTCGATTCCCAACCAGGGCATGTGCCTGGGTTGCAGGCTAGGTCCCCAGTAGGGGGTGCATGAGAGGCAACCACACATTGCTGTTTCTCTCCCTCTCTTTCTTCCTCCTCCTCTCGCTAAAAATAAATAAATTTTTTAAAAAATTAAATTAAAAAAAAAAGAAACTAGCATTCTTTATTAGAGCCCTGAGTTCAAGTTCTGCCAAGCAAGTTATTTAACTTCTCCTGGCTTCCACCCATCTCTACAGAGATATTATAGAGATATTATCCACCTCCCAGAGCTGTTGAAGACTAAGTGAGAGAAGGTAATCACTTAGCACAGTACCTGTTAAGTAATAAATAATGGATTAATGGTAGCTATTATTATTCAGAAAACCACTGTTGCCCATTAAGTAAGTGTCGGTAAGGCTGCTTAGAAGTGGATGTTCAAAAGAACTCCATGATGTTCTCAAGACATTCTGGAATAAAGAAATGAATGTCCCGTATTCAGTCATCCTCCTCTACACCTGGACACCGGGTGACCACCCGGGCCAGTCCTCTTAGGACATCACAATGATGGAAATGAATGACACACCACTACGGTCATTAAAGAGAACAAAAGAAGAAGCTATCCGGCTGTCTTCAATTATTTTAATTTTATTATTTTCCCCCACATATTTCTAATTTTAAAAAACCGTAAGAGACTTAATTCCTTAGCATACGCCATGGACCAAACCCACGCCTACAGGTCTTGAGTGCCAACCCCAGCACCACGGTATCACCATTATAAGGAAGAAAACCATACAGATACCACGCTATCTAAAAAATGTCGAGACAAGTGAAAACCCTAAAAGCATGAAAGTCCAGAGAGAACTGTTAAATAGTCTACTATTACGTACCTTTCTTGATTAAAATTAGGCATTAAATGACAGTCAGAGTAGCTGAACTTAAAAACTGAGTTTTAGGCAAGGTATGCCAGAGGAAGACACTACAAATGTTCCAGGTAACACAAACCTTACGTGAATTGTCATTTCCACACTCTACAGTCTTTTGCAAAAATTTCCCAAATTCCTTCAAATCAGTAATTCACCTAGTAAGGTAGTTTTTCTCTATATACATACATACAATAATTTGCCATCTATAGTGATGTTTGCATGACACTGTGAATGTAATTATATCCGTCATGAAAATCTTAAATGTCAAGAGAAGTATCAGAAAGATGACTGCAATTTTGAAATGCAAAGGATCTGTGGCAACACCTTGAGGAAAAACAGCCTTTTCCTTCCCAACAAAAACCCATGGTAACAAGCAAGAACTCTGTAACTTAACCTGGAACACTCACCTGAGCTAATTCCTTTAAACCACAATTACCTCTTAACTATCATGACAATAATGGAGAATAAAGGCTTCCACAATTAAACCTCAGAAAAAACCCTTTTATCCCACACAGCTCCCTTCTCCACCCCAGTGACCTCAGGGCCCTGCCTTCTCTCCAGAAGAAAACGAAGGGGTTTATGTTTGTTTTTTCTAAACTTTAATTTGGAAATGTATAGCACAAGGTAAGGTCCAGAGAATGCAGTCTTCAAAGAAACTGATCCTTTAGCTCTCTAACTAGATACCACTAGTAATAAATTACCAAAAGCTACAACGTCATGCTTTTAAAAGCCCACACTAAAATGCCTGGTTGGTCCTCACTCACTACCAAAAGGCTTACATAAATTGGCTCAAGTTCATTACCAAGAAGAGAAAAAATGTTTGAGAATTTTAACTTCAGCGTGAAACAACTTAAACTAAACACCACCAATAACAAGTACTAATATACTTGGGTACCATTAATGATCACCTCAACAGCAGGCGGAACCACGGTGACCCCCAATTTGACCTTAACCCAAGCTGTTTTAAATCCTGCCCTTTAAATAAAATCTTTTAAAACATAAATAAAGCATGCCCTTTTTATCTTCCTGCTTTGTTGTCACTGAGGATCTCACTGTTAATACGCCACCCAGGAAGAATGCTAGGACTTGAAAAGCACTATAAAGTAGCGGTTTCCATAGACGATTTTTTTTTTTTTCAAGAAATGCTTCACGGAGCTTCCAGCTATTTGCCCAGGATTTGGTCACAAGGACACCCGTAGACTTTAATGAAGTGGCAAGGCTTAAACATCATCTAACTCAGGAAACCCAGCAACCAAAAGTTAGGTGCACAAGGTTTACAGACGCAGCTTAGGTGACAGGGCAAGCAACAACTTCTGGCATCAGAAAAGCTGTCAACTCTTTTACCTCCGCACAATTTAGTTTAGGAACTTGTAAGTGGGCCCCACATTATGGGACACCTAACGTAAGGCTGCAACAGGACGCGCACTGTCATCTTCGCTATTCCTAGAAGCTGCTGCTTTATTTAATGAAACCTTCTAGCCTGCACACAAGCTACAGAATGAACTTCGTAAAATGTCATTTAAGTAAAGGCAGGATTGATTTTATTATTATACTGCTGTCCTACAAAACCGACTCAATTAAAGTACCTTTTCTCGGCCAACAATCTACAATTCGATCAAGAAGCGCGCTCCGTGTTAGGAAACTTTTAAGGTACTGATCCTGCTGGGAAGTCGGGCTCTCGTGTTGTATTTGCACTTTTATCCTACATATTTTCCTTTACGTAAGACGGATAGGAATTTGACTAGCCCACCCCGAAGGCCAGCGGGCCCGACACCCCCCTGCTGCCGCGGGAAGCCACGTTTTACTCGGGCAGCCCGAATCCCCACCCCTCGTGAAAATAATGCCTGTGGCCACTGGAGACTTCCCCGACCGAGCTCCAAAACTTGCAGGTTTAAATGGCCAAACTGGAACCAACCAGGGCAGCTGTCATCTGAAACTCGGGAAAGCTGAGCCCAGCCAACTCCGCGGAACAAGGAAGGGTGCGGAGAGATGTGGCGGGGCCCACCGGAGGGAATGCATTAGGCTCCCCTCCCCAACCCCCCACCGGTTCGCTCTCTGCAGCCCCAGCGCCGCCATCCTGCTCCTGAATAATTAAACGGGCTGGCGAGGGAGGGAGGTGGCCAGGGAGGCAGTTTCTCGCCCGAGTTTCCCGGGCCGAGGCGATGCGGCCGGAGGCCGAGGTGCTACATCCCCTGCGCACGGAGGACTTTCCTCGGGGGCCGGGGTGAGAAGGGGTCGACCCCGGGGGCCAGCGGGGCGGCCGGAAACAGGGCGCGGGGCGTGACGTGGAGGAGGGGATGACAAAGGGGCGCGGGGGCCCCGGCCGCGCTCCCCGCGGGGCCACAGGGGCCGGGACAGGTGGCCGGGCCTGGCCGGGAACAATGGGGGGCCGAGGCTGCCCCCTGGCGCTCACCTACCTCCGGTGCCCTCCGAGTTCTCGTTGAGGCTGCCCGAGGAGTCGTGCTGGGCGCCCACACACCCGCCCATGGGGGCCCCCGGCGCCTCGTCCGCCACCTCCGGCGCTCGTCCGGGCCCGCCGCCGCCTCAGCCTCCACCTCCACAGGCGCCGCCGCCGCCGCCGCCGCCGCTGCCGAGCTCCGGACAGGCGCGCCGCTCCGCTCGCCCGCCGCGGCCCAGCCTCCGCCCCCCTCGCCGCTCCACCCACCGCCTTGGCTCGGCCCCTTCCTCCGCGCCCACTTCTACCTCAGCCCCCGGGCCGGCCGCCCGCCCCGCAGGCCAGACCCGAGCGCCGCTATCCCCTCCGGCTCAGCCCCGCCAGGCCGGGACTGGCCCATCCCGGGCGGGCCGCAGCGCCCGCCTGGCCCCCTCACAATCCCGGACACCCGCGTCCCGGCGATCCCGGCGCTCGGACCGCCCGCCTGCCGGGCCCCATCCGCCCCCAACCCCGCGGCGCCGCCCTCCGCACCCGTGGCCTGGGCTCGGTCCGGCCCGCCCGGAACCGCCGCGGGGCGGGGCCACGGGACGCCGCGCGCTGATTGGCTGAGAGCGGGGCCGCGAGCGGAGGAAGCGGAGAAGGAAGAAAGGCGGGGAGGGGAGGGGAGGAGAGGGGAGGGAATGGAAGGAGAGGGGAGCTCCCAACCCCAGGGAAGGAGGCCAAAGGGGGCCAGGGTCGGTCTCTGGGGGAAAAGGCAGGAGAAGGAGGCGTGGAGGAGGGAGAAGGAAGACGCACAGAAGAAAGGCAAGGGAAGAAGGGAGAGGGAGTAGGAAAGGAGGAACAAAAGTGAGAAAGAAGTGGTAAGGGGCGCGATCGAGTTTCTGGCTCCCCCTGGAGAGTGAGCTTTTTCTGGTGAGAGCGGGGCACGGAAGTCGTGGAAGACTCGCCGGCGGGGACCAGGCGGCTCCCGAAATAACTGGCAGAGGAGAAATCCCGGCTGAAGGTGGAGGTCCCAGCACCGCTTGGATTGTGCAGAACCCCATCTAGGCTCCCCCTTGCCTGCCCTATCTTCATACTCCCTAAAATCACTGTACCCCACTATTAGAAGTAGAGGGGGTCACTTGTGGCTGCAGACTGAACTCAGATTACAGAGGCGAGGCATCCCGCGTAGGGAGAGATAAGACCTGCCAGCAAATCAAGGGGCGTGGGTTGTTTGATTTTCATGAGATTGCTTATTCAGACACAATGCTTCTGCCTTAGGTATCTTAAACTGTCCTTAGACCGTGAAGTATAAATAAATAAAATACCCTGCTGTTTCTAAACTAGAATTTGGTACATTGACCACACCCGACATTCTTGGCAGCTGCTATCCCAATCTAAGCCAAATTGTTAATGGTCCCGTCAGGATTGTGCTTCTTGCGATGATGCCTTCAAATTTTTATCATCCTGCCTGGGCCTTTCTAAAGCTTATTTCTACCTAAGAGCTGTTTTAACTATCTGCTCCATTTTTATATCAGACTTTCTTTTTTTAACATCCTGGGTCAGTTTTTGCTTAGCATCAAAAAAAATTTAAGTGAAATATCCAAGAAGAAACCTCTCTGCAGTTTGGAATTTGCATTTAAATATATTTTCATACACTACTGCTGGGGGTGTAAATTGGTTCAATCTTTTTGCAAAGCAATTTGGCACAGAGGTTCAAGAGCCTTTAAAAATATTCACACCCTTTGACATGGGATTATTTCATAGGTGGGGAACAGTCCAAAATGCAGACCAGGATTTTTGTCCTTGTATTAATTTGATAACCAGATAAAACCTGGGGCTCAACAAACAAAACCCTATACTTAAAGCACAGAAATGTCTTGTGAGATAGCAGTTTGACACCTTAAATCTGTCCTGATGAATTAGTGTTATCCTGGGTAGTCATGAACATTCAAAAGAGCCTGTGTAAGGACGTTTTTCCTGAGTTTGCACAGGTTGCGCTGACATTCAGGCACTATGTCACAGAGCCTTCTCTGTCTTATCATTTTCAGCCAAGTATTCACGTAGGCAGGCAAGACATCACTTCTCTGAAGGAAAGAGCTGCATGCTGAATATCTTTAAAGGAATTGCTTTGTCCTGAATTTCACTCCAGAAATTGCTGAAACCGAGACTTTGTGATGTCTATTAAACAGATGGTAGGCACCCAAGTGATGAGCGCTTTCTGATGAGCACTGTGGAGCTGGTGCTAGGAAGGGAGCAATCTCACTGAGCTTCTCAGCTATGGGTGTTCTCCATCCTGCCTTTTTCTTAAACCAGGGACACAGCTCGGCTTCCCACTTCCTGTGCTGGACTCTGGCTTCCATCCTGTACTAGCTATGTGACCTTAAATTTCTGTGTAGCTCGGTGTCTCACCTAGGCCATAAAATTGGTCCAAAACAATGCTCCAAACTCTGTGTGGGCTCTTTTGTTAACTCATCTTTTTACATCCAGCTTCACCTAAACTTACAGTGAGGCCTGATCCACTTAACACGTTCTATAGAAAGTGCCTTCTTCGTGTGTGTGTGTGTGTGTGTGCATGCACTTTTCTATTTTTATAACATCTTTAGTGAGATATAATTCATGTGCCATATACTGCACCCATTTAAAGTGTATAATTTGATGGTTTTTAGTATATGCACAATCAATTTCAGAACATTTTCAGCAACCCAAAAAGAAACCCCATACATATTAGCAGTCACTCTCCATTTCCTACCAAACCCCCAGCCTCAGCCCTAGTCTATTTTTTGCCTATTCTTGACCTTTTATCTAAACAGAATCCTATGTGGACTTTTGTGACTGGTTATAATGTTTACAACATGGTGTTCATCTATGTTGCATCAAGTGTCGGTCCTTCATTCCTTTTTATGGCTGAATAATAGTCCATTGTGTGGCTAGAACACATTTGGTTTATCCGTTCATCAATTGGTGGGCATTTGGGTTGTTTCTGCCTTTTCATTATTGTAAATAATGCTGTTTTAAACATTCGCGTACAAATTTTTGTTTAAATACCTGCTTTCAGTTCTTTTGAGAGCAGAACTGATGGGTCATATAGTCATTTAATATTTAATTTATGGAAGAAGCACCAAACTGTTTTCCACAGTGTCTGCATCACTTTACATTCCTATCATCAATGTATGAAGGTTCTAATTTCTCCACATCTGCAATGACACTTGCTATTTTTTGAGTTATTATTATTACTAATATAACCATATTGAGTATGCAGTGGTACTTCATTGTGGTGTTGATTTGCATTTCCCCAATGACAAATAGTGTTGAGCATCTTTATATGTGCTTGTTTGGCCCTTTGTATATCTTCTTCGGAGAATTGTCTATTTAAGTTCCTTTGCCCATTTTTTAATTGGCTTTTCTTTTTGTTCTGTGTCATAAGAGTTAGCTGTAGGTCTTTATAGATGCCCTTTATTAGGCTGAGGAATTTCCCTTTTATTCCTAGTTTACTGAATGGTTTTTTTTTTAACTCAAGAATGGATTTAGATTTTGCCAATGCCATTTTGCATCAACGAGATGCTTATATGCTTTTCCTATTTTAGTTTTTAGTATGATGAATTACACTGATGGATTTTCAAATATTAAACCAATCTTGAATTCCTGGGATAAATCTGACTTGATCGTGATATGTCCTTTTTAACACACTGTTGGATTCAATTTACTAAAATTTCATTCAGAATTTCTTCATCTACATTTATGAAGGATTTGTCTATAGTTTTTTTTCTTTAAGGTTCTTCCTATAGTTTTGATGTCTGATATTTCAATTTTATGGAAGGGAAAAGGAACTCTAAAGAATAGAGGATGGATGACTAAGAAGCAGCCATGTCCCCAGCGCTGAGACAGTACTGGGTTAGTACTTATGGGAGAGGTCCACCCTGGCTAGTGTGGCTCAGTGGATTGAGTGCCAGCCTGCAAACTGAAGGGTCCCCAGTTCGATTCCCAGTTGGGGCCCATGCCTGGGTTGCAGGCCAAGTCCCCATTGGGGGGCTCATGAGAGGCAACCACACAATGATGTTTCTCTCCCTCTCTTTCTCCCTCCCTTCTACTCTCTCTGAAAATGAATAAATAAAAACCTTTAAAAAAAAAGAAGAGGTCCCCCTAGGGTTAAGAGCCGGACCTTCTCAAGGAGGACATGGCCATGGTTTGGTGAATAGTAGAGAGGTTACTGTTGTGACACATCAGTGAAGTTGTTGGAGATCCGTCCTGTGAGGTGCTGGACAGCTATTCATAGGAGGTATCTCACCAGAGCTATTCGGCTGTGAAACTGCTATGAGGGGGAATACCTGGGGAAGCTGCGAATTGCTAGGTGGTGTTGGCTCTCGTGTCTTGCAGGAGCTGGGCCCTGAAGAAGCTGCTGCCACTGCCAGAACCTGGTGTGGGAGCAGCTGCGTATCCTGAAGCTGCTACATGAGAGAAGCTGTCTGTGATGCAGGAACGAGGCAATGGACAGGCCGCACACATCCCAGGCGCCTGGCCCTGATGAAGCGACCCACCCTATGGAAGCCTACAGGGCGAGCAAATGGGAATTCCGCCGGCAATGTCTCTCCAGTGCCCTCTACTGTCAAAGCTAAACATTGTGCCAACTGGCAAAGGCACAATATTTAAAGGGCCCATATCCATTTTCACAGAGCAGGCAACGAAGAGTGGGTTTGGATCTGAAGAAGTACTGGAGTTGGAAAATCTTCACTTTTCAACTATAGTAGTCTCTATGGACTGAATATTTACGTCCTCTCCCCACCCATTCATATGCTGATGCCCTAATGTGATACTATTTGGAGGCAGTGATGTTGGGAGGTAATTGGGTCAAAAGAGTGGAGCCTCCATGGGGGCATTAGTGTCCTCCTAGGAAGAAGAGGGGTAAGTCCTTCCTTTCTCCCTCTCCCTCTCTCTCTCTCTGTCATGTGAGGATACAAAGAGAAAAGGGCTCTTATCACACTGGCGCCCTGGTCTCAGACTTCCAGGCTCCAGAAGTGTGAGAAATGAATGTCTGCTATGATATTCTGTTCTAGCAGCTTGACCTGACTAATACAATTATAAAGGTTGGTTCAGGCAATAATCGCCAATGGATGTGAAATATATGAAGGAATTTTGATGAGGAGCTGGATAGATATTGGCATTGTCTT